GAGGACTTTCTCCCATGAGGAGGACCCCACACTGGAGCACAGGAAACATGTGAGGAGTCCTCCCCCTGAGGAGGAAGAAGCAGCAGAAAACAGTGTGACGAACTGACCCCAACCCCCATTCCCTGTTTTCCCCCTGTGCCACTGGGGGGAGGAGGGAGGAAAATCACGATCGAAGTTAAGCCCGGGAAAGGAAGGAGGGGTGGGGGGAAGGTGTTTTAAGATTTGGTTTTATTTCTCACTACTCCTCTGAGTTAATTGGTACTAAATTACATTTCCCTTCAGTTGAGTCTGTTTTGTCCGTGACAGTAAGTGCTGAGTGATCTCCCTGTCCTTATCTCAACCCCACAAGCCTGTTATTTTCTCTCCTCTCTCCTGTCCAGTTAGGAGGGGGAGTAATAGAGTGGCTTTGGTGGGCACCTGGTATTTTGGCCAGGGTAAACCCACCACAAGCAGCACACAACGATTATGTATTTTACAGACATACACATTGTCTCCAACACTAAATTCACACAAATTATGACATTCATGTAGTTCAGTTACATACCTATTACTTCGGTAGTCAAGGAAAAAAGCTTGGATTTCTCAATGGTGCTACAGAATTCCAAGGGAAAAGTTGTGTTTTCCAGTAACCTTGTCTTAGGAACCCCTTCCATTTTGAAAAAACCCTCATTTGCAGAATTTGTAACAAATCTCTTAACAACTACAAGTTAATAGACAGCTACCTTTATCTGAGAGGAAAATGGAAATGCTTGAAAAAACACAATCTAAATTAGGATGAGAACTGCTTTTTTTGACTTACATTTCCTGTGACATGGTCAGAATCATGAAGAAATAAGAACACAGGCTAAGGCTGCTGGCCTGCTCTTCAGCCAAACTTAGCCTTGTACATTCTGTTCTGGTATAGACATTCATGACCACAGAATCTCTCCAACATCATTGAGGGAAACTCAGTTTAGAGTGAACATAAGAAATAAAGATCCGATTCCCAGGCTTAGAACTGCCTATACAACCTCAAATTTGGTATCTCATTATTTTACCTTTAATACTTGAACTAAGAAAAGTAAAGATGTCCCATTAACCTGAGCCACAGGGCAACAAAATAAAGCAGATTTGTACAGCATGCTCTTATACCTTCTGTCTTCCCAGAACATACCATAAACAAGACACTTAAGAAAGTGTTGTCTTACCTGCCCGAGCTCCTCATTAAGGTTTGAGGTTCTGGCCATTGCAGGCGTATCTGTTTCAGGATAATACATATCTATGTCCTGAAATGAGAGTAAAATTAGTCCTATGCTATGCAAATTAAAACACTGAAATCTCTAGTCTTCTTTTAGTCAGCTCCAACTTTGCTTGATTGACTTAATTCCACTGGTGGAGGCTCTGAAGGCTTGAGAAACAAGCAGCGTCCCAGGCTGAACAGGGGTGCCTCCTTTCTAAAGTATACCTCCATGCTACATGTACATGAGAAAAGCCAGATTCAGTTACAAGTAATCATCACTCTCCTCATTGCATCTCTAGTTAACAGAGATTAGCCATGCTAATCATAGGTCTTCAGTTACAATGCAATTTACTCTAGCCACATCCATGACTGAATAGACAATTTAAGTGACTGCAAAAATCAACTCTCATTACTACATTTGAGAGGGTAAACAAAACAGCTGCTACATCAACCAATAAAAAAATTCTCAGGTAAGCTAGTTATGCATCTCCAATATATTATAAGCAGCTCAGAGAACAGACATTAGACCTTATTTACTTGCATTTGAGAAGAACCACTGCAACTTTACTGAAAGTCCAAGGATTAATGTATAGCAAGACAAGGTATTCCTCTTCGTTTTATTCAGCTTAAGAGACATCTCTACAGTAGTTTTGGTCCACAACTGAAGAGAAACACACTCTGAATTCAAAGCTTGTCTGAACAGAGGGATCACTGTTTTATTGCACGAGGTACCACCAACTCATCCCCTTAGAGAAATACTACGATTCATACCAGAGGTGACTTTAGACCTTAAGGCCAGCCTCAGGATTAAAAAAAAAACAAAAACACAAAAAACACAAAAAACCAAGAAAACCAAACAAAAAACCCACCCCCAAACAAGCCTAGTCTTTCTCTCTGCTGTGGCTGAGAGAAGCTATGAAGTACCGAAGAGTTCTCGAAAGACATTTACTAAACATGAGTCAGCTAAGACCTCCTTCAACCAAGCAAGCTGAGCCTTCCTTCTCACCCTGAAAGCCTAAAAATATACAAGTATGACCACCTGCACAGAGGATCTTCCTACAACTAAGTCTTTTCATTTTCTGTGGAACACGGAACTAATACAGAATAAATCCTCTGAATTCCTCCCTGCCTTTCCCAGAAGTTGCATCAGAAAATCTGGTAAAGATTTCAGGGTGGTTTTGGGTTTGTTTTTTTTTAATGTCACTTCCCAAAACTGACATTAAACACATTTATTCTTGTTACTTACCCAATTTATAAAAAGAGCCTGAGTAAACTTGACAACTTCCAATGTCACCAGAAGACTGATTGGAATAAGGTTGTTGTACAAGATTATAAATGTCAGCAGATTGTATCCAAAGTTGACAGACAGCATTTCTGTGGACCAAAAGACATAAGGCATCAGAAGACAGAAGGCTGAAGTAAGAGTAGTACAGGACAGTGGCAATCATCTTTCCACAGCTGGCCTAATGAGATTTAGTAGTGCTAAAATCATCAGCAAGTGTGTTGAGGCCTAGTATAAAGGCCTTCTTAGTATTGATTTCCATAGTACATAATAAACACCCACAGAACACATGCCTGGATACACAGCATATTATGCCAGGTGAAGAAGGGCAAGACTGGTGAGGCTATACATTAGAGAACAAAACACTTTCTGAACAATTCTTGCTAAACAGATGGCAAGAAGTATGATATTCCACACTACACCCCAAATTTAGAGATTTATCTGATGTGACAACTGCCCCAAATAAGAGCCACCAATATCAGTAGTAACATAACTTTACCTTTCAGAAAGTGCCTACTTGTCTCAGTAGTCAGAAATAAAAAGTAAAGTTTAAAATTAGTTTTAAAATCTGCTAGCACCAGCAGAGTTGAAAAGTTACTCACATCAAAGATCTAAGAGAACAAGTTGACTGTTAAAGAGACATCTAGTAATTCAACTAAGGCATCCTGCTGAAGCAGAAGAGTTACTATTAATGGTGGCAGTGTTGGGCAAGTTGCCCAAATAAATCTGCCAGGAAAACTGGTCCTAAAGGGATGGGGAAGCATTTATAGACAGCAGGCAGGCATGGACACAAGGCTCAGCAGAGGATGAAGGCTCCTGTTCATGGTGCTGCCCACAGCCTCTCTTTACATCTAAAGTCTCTGCATTTGTCTAGTCTTCACTTTCCTTGAAGCTGAGGGAGGCACTTTAGTCAGCATGAACAGTACAACGGGGTCACAGCCCACAACTAAGGGTTTTTCAGCATTACAAATAAGTTAGCAAGAAGGCAGGGGAGCAATCTAAGAGGGGGCTGAAGCCAGAGAAAGTTGTTGAAGAGTAATGAAGATCAGAGCAAGACCTGAAGTTCAGATCCATGTACTTCCAAGTGGGAGCACACACAAATTCCCTATCTTTGAGCAGTTTAAAGAAAGAGTAGAAGCACACTTGGTATCAGAAAAGGTTATTCCAATATAGTCTTTCTAGAAACTAGACATTTCACAAAAAATTTAACATCTACCTACCTAGCACCGAAAAGTCTTTCCCATGTGTGAAGTTAGAGAAGCAATAAAAATTGTGTGTTCAATTTACCAAAAAAAGCATCTACACAGACTGTCATCCTAGTTTATTACAGGTTGCACCTGTTTTACATTAGCACAAGTTCAAGAGTTTGTTCCATTCATCTTTTCCAATCTTACTTCCATCATTGAAAGGCACAAATTTAAACTTCCTCGTTAAAAAGCAAGGGGGAGCATAGGAAAGAAACTTTGAAAGTTGCTGATAGTAGTACTTCTAGCTGGTACTAGAAGACATCACAACTAACAAAACCAGAGTCAAACATGAGGCACTTCCATGCTCTTTCTATATGATTTTCTTCATTATCAAAACTGCAGTTCTTAAACTGCAGAAGACTCCCTTTGCCATCTGTTTTGCAATCTCCAGCAGAAAGCCCATTTGCAGTTCATGAGAATTGGTTTCAGATCTGCATGTCAAGATGTTTGTATCACCTTTTATAGCTAGCTAATGTAACCCCCCCAAGTCAAAAGTCTACTGGAAAGCAATTTATTTCATCCTTAAGTGTTTGCTTAAGGCCCACCTTTGATATTTGAATTAATAAATTCAAGGAGTATGAATGAAATAAAATAAGCCCCTTTAATAAGTATGCTAAGATATCAGTTCTCATTACAACGTAACCGAAGTCAGAAGCCAAAAAGACCGAAACACTATCCAATAAACATAAAATCATATCATTTAGCACTTAAGTTTCCTCTACAAGAGCAGATCAGCATTTCTGACTGAAAAAACAGCTACAGAAATCCTTTGCTTCTGTACATTAGCATCAAGATGAAATCAGTATCATCAGACTGTTACCTGCTACCCTGCAGTCAGGTACAGTCAGACACGATACACATGACCTGCTCTGAAAACAAATTCATGCACGGCATCTCCGCAGAGCTGAAAACTTGAACATCAAATATCCTAGAATAACTTTTGCCCCTCTTCTGTTTTTGCCTGGTCCCCATGTGGTAGCCTACTGACATTTACCTAAGCTTTGGAAAGTTCTATTAACAGAAGCCTCACTGGCAAGTTCAACCTACACCAGCCCATTCTCCAGAAAAAAAATTGGGCCATTAGCAACAGGCTTTGTTTCTTGTGTTTCCTTCTTTGTTTCTGATTTTATGCATTCATTTAGCAAAGCTAAGAGCCTAGTTGGCTCTACAGTCTAATACATCCCTCACACACTGCCTGCATACTCACTGTTGGAGCCAAGGTACCAGACAACTTCGCCATGTGTTCTATTCCATAATAAGGCACCTACAGAACTCACAAGGGCCATCACCAGGAGAATACAGAACAAAACCAGGATCTGCATGTTGGTCACTTTCTCCACATTTGATCTCTTCAGAGGTGCTTTGGTTGAATTCTGAACAGCAGCAGAAAAAAAAAGTCTGGCAATGGCTTATACAGGAGGAAACTGCAGAGAAACTCAGTCTTTATTCTTAGAGTCCGTTACACAACTTGCCACTTTAACTCTGTTTAGCTCAATATGGTATGCAAAGCTGAACAAGGTAGTAATAAGAGCCAATACTCCTAATGACTCCAAAACTGACAGGAGATTAAACAAACAGAACCATTCAGTTTTAAAGACCACATACGCTCATCTCCTGGCTGTTCATCCCACTGATGGTCAGCAGAAGCAGGCAACACATGCATGTGGCTGGTCTCTCCAGGCACTCCCTGCCATTAAGGCAATACAGAGGCCGCAGTCTTAACGTTATTATCTCTAAGCACTAAAATTGTAGGTGGTCATTACCACATCCTCAGCTGTGAGACCTCAGTTTTAAACATTGTCCAGCTACCAGATAAATTAAGATAAAATATAGTTAGTTTCTTACATATTGAAGTGTTTTGAGACAAATACCTCAATAAATGCCACATGGAACCTCAAGTACAAGGCCTCAAGGCCTCCAGGTCTTAAACAGCTACAAGTCAAATCATTTCATGAAATCAAGTCCAAAAAGACAAGTAGAACACAGGAAAGATGACCAGCTTCTATCAGAACATGCTCTAGATCTCCTTAAAAACTTTACCTGCATGAGTTTTGTATCATGTCCTGTATACACAACAATACCCAAGACCCATTGAGTGTTTCTCAGTTGTGCACCTCTCAGCAATATCTGGTCTGGACCAACAGGAACTGGGCTGCAAAGCAAGAGGATGTAGCTCTTTCAATTGTTGTTAGGACTTTAGGAAAGTAATTCTCCTTTCAGCCTTACTCCCCCCTCAAAAAAAAAAACAAAAAAAAACACCACACCACAAACCACAAGAGGAAGAAAGCAATATCATGAACTTACATTGTCCACACAACTCAGGAGAGCACTGAAGCGTGTGCAAGTCTAATCCCTGCTAAAGGACTAAGGCCAAGGTGATACAAGGGAGCTGTTCTAGTTACCTAAACTTGACAACCTACCTGGCAGCCATAAGCCTGCTCTGCACTTTATACCTTGGCTCGTATGTTCTCTCTCACATCAGGCTCAGAGACTCACCACACTCGCTAAGAGACCATCCATTCCAAGCACACTATAACATCACATATGGCATTAAATAAGCATTTCAGGAATCTGTATCACCCATGTGATTTTCAAGTGGGATGCAAGTGACCTTCTACTATTCTTGCATCTGTCACTACTCAGCTGAGTTACCCAAGGAACACAGTTTTTGTGCAAGAAAACAGGTACAGCCAGATGAAACCTGCGTGTTCCTACTGACCTTTCAAGTTCTTGAATTCATAGTACTAAAACCAAGTTCTTTTCTTCCAAGAGTTGCAACAGACTAAAGTCATACTGATAAAGACTCCAGATTCTGGGATCATTTTTATTTATAGATCTGAACTTGGTGCAGCTCTAGTTGGAAGGGAAAGGTCTCCCAGTTCCTCTGCAGATCTCCTGTAACAAAGCAGCCCTAAAAACCCCAACCATTTCCCCCACTCCTCCTTCTCTTTAAATGTTACTTCTCATGAAAAAACCCACTATGATTCTCAAGAAACTACTCTCCCATAACAAGCAGAAGACTCCATAGGAAGACAGAACTAAGTTACCTTACACTGGCAGATGCTCTGATCAACAATTGTTAATTATTACCCTCCTCTTCTCCAGCAAAAATATGCATGTGCTCAGTGTTGCAGACTAAAAGCACACAGGAAGCACTTTTCCTAATCAAACAAATTTATGGCTTTGTCGTCAAGTCAATACCTTTGACCATCTAAGCGCAAGTTTCCAGTGAAGTCGTACAGATGGCGGTTGGGTCCTTCACATTCTATCCTTCCAGATACTTTCATCAATTCTTCTCTTGACTGGAGACTAGCAGTTTGAGACAGCCCCTGCAGAGAGCAATCCAAAGGAGGTTCTTAACAGAAATCATTACTAGAAGGCAACCTAGGAAAATAGTGCTTTATTCTAATATCTAAGATACCAAGTGTAATTAAATGTGTGGAGGTTCTCTTGCATTTGTTGGGGGGTAGGGTTTGTTTTGGGGTGGTTTTTTTAATGGGCATTCAAGAACTCTTTCCTGCAAGGAAGATTCACTATGAGCACATATGATCCTGTTTACACAGGATTGGTCTAAATTCCTCTACACAAAAAGAGATATCACCTACATGATCCTCTGTAACCAAGAGGAAAGTCCCATCCACAAAGCACGAAGTTGCACACACGCAGGAGGAAGGAGACAAGCAGTATAAACAGTCCGGCCTTTTCTCTGAAAGTGTAGCTCTACCCATGTGTTACTGCCGCTAAATACAGTCACTCCTAAGTGTAGGCTCTCTTAGGTCACCACAGCCACTACGCTCTGATCCTATTCAAGGTTAATTATCAACCCATCACGCAACTGTAACCTAACGTATTGCTATTCCACCTCAGAGCGCACATACAATGTTCCATCGCTCTTCATTTGTCTATGAACAGCTCTGCTTGGTTAAAAGTGATCCATTTATTGTTTCTTTTGCCAGATTTTGACTGCAGCACTGCAAGCCAGAACAAGGTCTTCGAAGTCCCCGCAACATTTTTTTTTTGGTATTTTAAGTATGTGTCCTGAAGCAAATAAAATCTCACAGGAATTCAAGATCTGATCTATTGGGCTGATAGAGAACAGTAAAACCCATTTCTACAAAGGTAGTAAACAAGCAGCAAATGTATAGCTTTTTTAAAAACAACTAATATGCATTTCAAAATCCTAACCCAAATTAATTTTTTTGTAATGAAAGAAGGTAAAGATTCTGAACTATTTCCAAACACTATAATGAACAGTATTTCCTCAACAAAACCAGAGAGATCCAAATAAATTCTACTACTTCCACTACAAAGAAGGAACTAAACATAAAAAGTCCTTTTGCACATTCCACAGAGGCAGCAGCGGACAGAGTGGCACTTGTAACAGCAGAAACTGCAGCTCTCTTCACAAGCACAGCTTTTTGTGGGGTTTTTTTGTTTGTTTGGGGTTTTTTTTTGTTTTGTTTTGTTTTTTTTTTAATACAGCTCTACAGTTTCACTTACTGGACCTTCAGCAAAACACAGCCAAGGTCTGCTTGATTTGCCTTTGTGGGCTTATACTACTTCCTCCAGATTAGTTCCTTACACTTGCACAGGAAACATTATTGGTTGAGTTTGTCTGTTGGAAAGGAAGCCTACAGCCACCTGGAAAGATGTATGGTTTGGGTTTTTTTTTTGAAAAAGAGTACTTGTATTGCTGTCATGCAAGCTAGACTCTTTGTAGCTAATATTAAATACCTAAACTGAAAAAAGGGTGAAATTCAATTTGTTTTACCTGTCTTATCTTGAGATTCGTCTCCCCATCGAGATTAGCTGTTTCAATATAGCACATGGCTTGTGGTTCACTGTAAGGAACATAAGATTGTCAATATTAAAACTCAGTGCTTTTTGTATAATAGTTTTGCACTGAAATGGTCCACAATACACTTCAATGCACTGCCAAAGACAAAAATCTGTATGAGCTGTATATGACTACAGAAGAGCCAGCTGAAAGTATGCACTTCACAGAGAAGTCCGAGTATGAACACTCTCATACAACAAGCTACAGAGAAAGACAAGTCTAAATCAGAAGGTTAGTAAGAATTTAACAAGTCATGATAAACTTTGATGCCTGAAGTAGACTATTCCACACTGCAATCCATAAAACTGCTCCAGACTGCAAAAGCTATAGACAAAATACTAAGTATTGACAGCAGGAAAAGGGAACATGCTCTCTGCTGTTATGTCTGAACTCCATGCACAAAAGGTCTGGCTGCAAGATCACCCTGAAGTTACGGGACTCGTAGAATTACATCTGAAGTCACTGCTAATCAGCTTTTTTTCCCAGGAATCAGAAAAGGGTACAGCAAGATTGAAACTGAGGGCTGTGATCTGCATCTTCCAGAGATACTCCTGCCCTTATCAACAGATTCAAAAAACCCAAACCCCAAACACTTCCTCACAGAACTGAATTTTCCATTAGTCAAGCTCTTACCTACAGCTAACACAAAGGAGCTCTGCATACGTAGCACCTGTGATAAGAAAGGGCACTTCGATCATTGATCTTCTCCTGACATGCCCCTTAAGATTTAAAACCTCTGTATGGCACCACCAAAACTATTTTGCCCAACTGCCTTCTCAGGCTGCTAAGGAATCAGTTTCCCATCTGGACTCAAACAAGAGCGTGTCCAGCATATCACTTTTCATATTCTTGAGATGCTGCTATTTCTTTTCCAAAGTAACCAATTGCTTTAACAGCAAATGTACTTAAGCAGAAGAGTCAGTAATAAAGGCTCTTTAAGGACAAAAACCATTAAGAAACAGACAGATGCAGTTAAAACAATATAAGCAGCTAGATTTTTCTCTCTAAAGAATTTTTTCTTTAAAAAAAAAAGGTCCAGAGTCTATTCTTTGTCTCCTTCTACACAGGCAACCTGAATCTGAACCCAGGAAAGACACCAAGTCCAGCTTGACTCCAGTTTTACTCCTGTCACAAACACCTTATCTACTATAACTGAAGTGGTTAACTCAGGAGGGAGACCTCTTAATTTCACAGAAATGTGGAAATGTTTCCATAAAAAGTTGTGTTTGGATTCAAATATTTTATTCTCTACATAAAATTCATTTGATGTCACCTTTCTTCTATAGGAAGGGCGGGGGGGAAGTCAAGATAAAAACAACTGTTTATTTCACCTCTGACAGTCAGCTCAGACACAGAAAGTAACACAGACAAGCAAGAGACCCCACCCCTTCAGAGCATGCAAAGCCTTCTGATGAACTGAGGACACTTAGTGTTGTCATTTAAAACAATCACAGGAATAATACCAGTTGTAAAGCAGAACTGCCATAGAAATTGTTATACATTTCAAGCAAAGCTTCTCCCAAATCAACATACTTCAGGTTAAATTCTCCAGTTATTACACGATTATCAGTGGCAGCAGGTTAGTAGAATAATGCAGAAAAAGCTGACTCATGCAAGTTAAAAAATAAATCAGAAGGTTTTTAGTGTAATACATTAGAGGAGAAGTTTTCAAGTAGAACCAATATTCTTCAATGCTGAAAGCACAAGTTATTGATGTCACTGTATAGCCTAACTGCTTAAGGTTGACAACTGCTTATTTAAAATTCAGGGTTTGTTTTTTAAAAAAAGACAATATTGTATACCATGGAATGAAGATGCCTCTATCCTTATCATGCGACAGTTCAAAAAGACTGGGCTACCCCATACAGCTTTCAAATAAAGTGAAACCTCCCAGGAACAGCACAGACAAGGAGGATGGAGCAGAAAATGCACTAGCTTAGAAAACCAGTTCCCTTAGAAGTTGGGTCATCTGAGACAACTGTAACCTGGAGACTAGAGCAACCTGCAGTCTCCACTGAAAAGCATGTGGACAAAGAGCAAGGTGTCTTAAGAATTGGCTACTAGAAAAAAGTATGTTCAAGAACAGGAACTGGACTACTGTCTCTTGTTCAAGCCTCTGTGTAAGTGGATCGTTGTCTCTACTTGGCCTCAAGTTGTGCAACACAATATGCAGTCTAGACTAGCAGTCAAGTACCACTCAAATGGTTTTAAGAACTAACGACCAAGCTTTGTTTGCCAGTATAACTGTATAAAGAAGTTGTCCTACATTTCACAAACTAAAATGAGCAGGACTCAACAGTTTATGGTTGCTACCATGTTGGAGATGGGCTATACATGCACTGTATCAACAACAAGGAGTTGATTGAACAACAAGATGAAGCCCAAAAGCTATTTTGCAGGCTAGTTATTAGATGCCAGCTAGGCTACTCTTTCAGAATTACTGTTTGAACGAGAAATCTTTCCTGAGGGGCAGAAAAATATGTTGGAAACTCAGTGGAATTAACTGGAAGAAAACTTAAGCTTGCTTACTTAAATGAAGGAATCCTCAGAAGGCCATAGAGCAACTGACTGCTTGAAGTTTGTGTAACAGACCTTCAGTCTTCCAACAAACTCAGTGATACACTCCATGAATTACACATACACAGCACTATGAAGTCTTAAAGAAGCCTTCTTTAAGAACCTATCTATCTACAACGACACACAAATCATTCCCTACTACAGCACTGTTTTCACGTTGTTGAAATTTGGTTTTAGATGTGGAGAAGAATTAGTGCCATCTGATGTCTGCTTTTATTAATAGCAAATACAGAGTTTCAAGTCCTCTGCACCTCAGTTCATCAGACACATCATTTCCACACCCATTCAGGATACCTGGAAGATAGAATGATCATGTCTGCTGGAAGATGTTGCCCATTGGTGACCTTCACAATATCGCCTACCGCTACCTGTTGAGTCAGGGGCAGGAGTACAGTAGCATGGAAAAGAAAAACAAAACAGTTCGCTTGTCTGCAATGTTAGTTTTGTTACTTTATTTCACCCAGTCAAAAGGACAGCATCATGCACAAAACAGCTAGAGACAGTGCTTCTGAAAGTCAGAGTACTTTTCACTGCAAGTTTGGAAGCAAAGCCTTCCCTTTTCTGAAGGCAAGGTAAACAATTCTTTATAGAAAAAAATAGATGCATTCAACTGGAAAATGTGAACTTCTCAGGCTTATATTTAGCAAAACCAACTTTCTTCTGTAATCCTGCTATCATCCAAATTTCAGAGGTCTTTTCCTTTAGTGTTATTTCATGTACAGAAAGATTCTTCCCCCCTCAGGAAAAGAGTTATCTTTAAAACCCTACAGTCCTCAAGTATCTAGTTTCTCCTATTCCTTCTTCATATGACTGACTTACCCAGTCACCTCTACCATTTTCCCTTTGCCCTTTTTCTATACACTGCTTGTACTAGTCACTAGCACAGAGTATTGTCTCTACAGCTAGATAGCATCAACCAGTTCTTCCCTCACCTATAGCCACTCGAGATAGATAAAGTCCTGATTTCTGGAATACTGATGATATAAGAGTTTCTGGCACCTTTAATGGGAGCCACACACACACAGGACTTTCATTCTAGTTAGATCCAAGTAGCACTCTCAAAACAGTAAGCCAAGATTAGCTGCTAATTGTCAGGCTGCTTGCATCAATGCATTGCTGAGAGTCTGAAATGGGCTTAATATTTTTAACATATAAATTTCCAAAATTTTAAGTGTTCGAACAGCAGATTCATTGTCTTACTCCGATCCCACTGAACACAAATTCCCTACCAATTCCAGGACAAAAGAGATGAGAAGTCTGCCTTAAAGCAAACAAGGTGGCTAGTACAGAACTGTTATTCCCCAACAATAAATGTAAGGCTGGACAACATGCAAATGCAGACACAGGCCAATTCGAGAAGTGCTTAAGAGTATAAGAAAACCAGATTTCAGGCTCAGCTTTAAACATCTTTCAATTCCCCATCCTCACTACAAACAAGACATGGAACTGCATAAACAGGCATGAGCATTAGCCATGAGAGTCCTGGCAATCTTTAGTTTCTACTATAGCCCAATACTATGTAGCAGGATTGCTTTCAGGTCTCTTGAGGCAGGTCTCATTTCCCAGAGGTTTTAAAAGGGTGTATTTTTTCCTCATTTATTAGATAACAGGGCTGATTTCATCTTTAAAAATGCATTACAAGCCACAATTAGATCAATACATGCTGAGGGATTTTAGGAAGTTCTAGAAATAAAGCTTACCAGATCCTGGCACAGGGCTTCACAGAACATGGGTCGAAACTGCCTGAGGCAGCAGCAGGGCTTGTGCTGAGGGATTTTAGGAAGTTCTAGAAATAAAGCTTACCAGATCCTGGCACAGGGCTTCACAGAACATGGGTCCCAAGTGCCTGAGGCAGCAGCAGGGCTTGTGTTGCTTACTTTAGCAAACAGATTTCTAATTCGCCTCAAAACCCAAGAACTTCTTAGCACAGGTAGCAAAATAAATCTGTTACACTTTCAGGGGAGGTACAGCATTGCAGTGAAAGTTACTCTTCTAGATACAGACTAAAACCAAAATACCGTTTAAACCCTGGAGCATACTAACTGCCCAAGCAAAAACACAACAGTTCATCAGCATGACTGAAACTTAGTACTAGGTTTTAAAGAAGGGTAACTCAGTGCCTTGCTCAGGGCAGTTTTCAGTATTGCAACAGAAAGGTTCCCTCCCACCCCAAGTCACAGGGAGTTCTCCCACAGCATACGTTAATTCTAGACCTCCAAATTCATTTTGGCAAGAGTAATTCTTTAATACTTTCTCCCACTCCCTCCCATCCCCAGTTATATTTACCTCTTTCCACATAATGTTCTGCCACATCCCATTTCTTAGAACTGGAAAGAAAGTTTAAAGTTAAATTAGACTAAATAGCCAAGATTCAGACAAATTTCAGAACAACTATATCAACAGTAGCCACCATTGACCAGAACAGGAACCAAAACACAGATCAGAGAAGTACTTTCCAGAAGCTGGGACCACACTTTTGTCCACAGCTGTAGGCATGCACATTCAAGAAAAAGGAAGAATCTGCCCTTAATGTTTATATCATATTTATCACCTGCTAGACAACAGTTGGTGGCCTGATTTCTTTTTGGCAGCCTTTCTTACTAACCTACAGATGGGCAGAGTTGTTACTTCTTAGGGAAATGACCTTCCTTGAAACAAAGGGCATTACTGCCCACTATCAATCAGTATCAGGAAGCATCTTTACTCTATGTATGACTTAACCACAGAGCTTTCACTTCTCACCTTTTCCTTGCATTTTACTTGTTATATTTTGACTCTGACACACCCAACTTCACTACGACGCCAATTGCCCTTACAAGGCTGAGGCTTAACCGTCAAGCAAGTTCTAAGTCCTAATGGAAAGCAAACATCTGTTTTGACAGAAGGAGAACCCTAAATGCTGAATTTCATGCTGAGACAAGAAAGAAAACAAGGTACTGAAACAGGCCGTGGCTTCTGTAGTGCTCAAGTCCTACACTGCTGTCTTAACACACTCATTGATCATCCATCTACTCTAGAACATGGTTTTCCACCCAGGTAGTTCCTCTAGATGCTTCTACATATAATTAATGCTACTCTAGCCTAAATAGTAAGGTAAAAAAATTATGCCCAGTCATTACTGAGTAACCAAATGCAGTGCAGGTATAAGCACAGCAGGTATACTTAAAACTCAAACCCTTCACTAGAAGTGGCTGCAGCCAGTTTTCAAAGATGTTCAAAAAGCATAGCATGCAGCAGACAAAAGTCAAAGAGGCCAGCCCCCTGCTTTGAATACAAACAATATTCTCCTCAGTTCCACCCAATTCACAGGCATAGCTCGTTTGAAAGCCATACTAAATTCGCAGAAGATGCTATTCTGCTGAATACAGCCCAACCATCCTACGCAGGTTAGGCCATTCCATAAACAGGAATGCAAGATTTGCCAGATTAGATCAAGCACAACAAACCCATCTCTTGATTCCTGTCCTCAGGCCACACACTCCGGAGCACTGAATCCTGAGATTTAACATTACAGTGGACGGATCACAGTGAAGAAAACTGTTTAAAAAAAAATGGTGGGCAGCAACACAAGCACTGCTAGTGATGCATCTAAACTGCTGAACTTCCCCCCACACAAGTATATACAAGTTTAGAGGATGAACAGGGTTTTTTTGCATCACTTCCTTGCCTCTTCTAAGCTGTGCTTGAATTGAGCTCTGCGTACTTCAGAATTCAGAAGTCCTGAGTCCAGAATTCTCAAGTGAAAAAGACACATAGCTGCAGCCTTGACTCAAAACCCACACCCTCAGAGAATTGCAACACAGCATCTCCTGTGCCTTGCTTTAAGCAGCTCCCTGTTCCACCAGCAAATTCTGGAGATGTTTTAGCAAACAGTTCACATTGTTGTATGTTTATATGCAATGAAGGTATTTTGTAGCTTCAAGTGCCATGAACTCAGTCTTGTAGATAATTTACTTAATTAAACAATTTAGGTTGTGCTTACTGAAGTCAATTTCATTATTAAAATTAATTGGTCAAGGAAATTACTGAAGCAACTTTAACTCATAGCCCCACAATCTAAAGAGAAAGCTTCCATTAGACGTGAAAGTTCAGAAACTTTGGGGTTGCAATTTTGCACTCTGCTTAACCCAGTTTTATAGGAGTACTCCAAAAGACAGAAAAGACTGTCTTTATAATATTTACAGGAGTGTAAGATTGATGAATTATTCATTGTCAAAAGGTATTTGGTTAAAATAACAAAGAACAAGTACCTAAAAAGACCGCTCCTTCTCAAAATCAGAGTTTCAATAGAAACCTCCTAAGACTTTCTAAGACTTAAAAACAGTGTATTGGATGTTTTAGATCTAAGACTTAATGCTGTCACTCACATCTAGGTGTGTATGTACGGCCATATGCTGTTCCTGAAGGGCAAGCATTTCCCATCAGTCTTGCACAGCAGTTTGCTAGCCCTGTGTCTACTATTAGAGGACACCCCACACAGCATTAAACGCTCATGGCTTATTCTGTAATTTGACAGTAAGAGGATCAATACCTCAGAACAGTTATTACTAAGCTCTCTACATTTATGTAATATGCTGCTCATGGGCTCCACTTGGGATTACATTTAGTCTGGTCCCTAGATTCAATGTCATCTCCACATACACCACATGAAGCCATCCAAGACATGAAATGTTGGCTCAGAGCCTAACACGCTCCAGCTCCTAACGGAGATGTACAGTGCTCACCTGGAGCAGAACTTTCAATTTAGCTTCCTCCAAAGGGAGTTTAATTCCTACATACCAAAGCCACTCTGCAAAGCAAATCAATGTTTTCAATCGTAAATTTAATCTAGGAAATGTGCTTTGAAGATACACTACTGCTCAAAAAACTGAACATGAAGGTAAGTTCAAAGCCTACATGCATGTTACTGAAGCAAGTGTCTTGTCACTGCAGGCAGTGAAGCTCAGAACATAGCCAAGCAGCCAGCATACATCTACTTTTGAGTGAGTTAAACTGCTCTCTATACTGATTGAACTAACTAGACCTCACTTGGCTATAAGAGGAATCCAAACGCACATACAAAACTTTAATTTAATTCATCTTAATCGCACCCTGAACATGAATTAGCTTTTCATTCTCATAATACAAGTTTCAAGAATGAGCCTCTTCAGCCTTCCTCTTAAGAAATATGAGAATACAGTTTTAAGTATCAATTTGAAAACTGTAGTCAAATGTAAAAAATAAAATTATTTTAGTGCAGGTTTTAAAAGCCAAGTTCCACTTCGCCCCATAGGAATACTTTGTGTTCTCTAAGGTTGCTTCTCCACAATTACTGTGATAAACTTGCCTTGAAGTGGTTTTTAGCGCATGTTCTCCAACTACAAATGAATTAGAACTGCCTACGTGACCTTTGAAAAAGCAGCCTTTGATATTACCTATAACAAGGCCTGTTGCGCTACAGCTAGTTAATCGCTGATTTCTCATGACTAATACATACAGCGTTCTTGTACTTGAAACATGTTTCCAGACTCTTAGAGAAATTACCTTGAAGAAGTGGTAAAGCAATGCTTTTTGACATTCATTAATACACAATCTCAATGATCAAATTAACTTCTCAAGCAGGAAGGAAAAACCAACTCACTGAAAATAGTCCTGCGAACACCATGCCCATTAACTCAAGCATGGAGCTAGCAGGTTGTTCAGTTCCTCATGTTCCCTTAAGTGTTACTCTAGCTTTTTGATACTTGAACTAAATGCATTTGGGAGGAAGGGGCTCTACTTAAATGTCAGGTCCCTGTGTTTTCTGTTTCACCTGCAGATCTCCATGGAGGAGTAGCAGAGGAGCTGTCAGCCCAGGAACATGGAGATCCATGACTGAAGCACAGACTGACCACAGGGCATCCATCAATGAACTCTGTATTTTCTGCACAGATTTTCAGTTATGGGAGATGAAGGAAAAAATTATGTCTTCAGGTATTCAGTGCCAAGTAGTGTCAATACCTTCAGGATATGTAGGCATTCAGAGGATATCAGTGTTCTCTTTCAATGACAATTCAGGAAAGCAAATCCACAAAACCCCAAGAGATCTTCCTACATTTTAAGGGCAGCAGCATTGATAAAAATGCCTTAAAAGCCCTTTGACACCAACTTTTAGTGTTTCAAGGGTTTGTTGTTTTTTTGGGGGGTTTTTTTTGGGGTTTTTTTTTTGGTGGTTTTTTTTTTTTTTTTTGGGAGGGTGGTGTTTCTTTGTGGGTTTTCACTCTGGGTGGTTTGGCACCTTTTTTTGCCTTTTTTTTTTAGGCTAGTCAGGATAGAGTTTGGCAGGGGAGAAAACTGCTTGTTTTCTTGGAGGAACTCAGAACTGTGTTACTTTGACCAGCCTTGAAATTACATGAACTTACTAATGCTAATAATCCCCCCCATGCCTCACCCTCAATTGTCATACTATCAGCAGTCTGAAACATCTGGTTAAGTCAAATCCTAACACAGCAGTAACTACCTAGTCCAAAAAGACATGCATTCCCCACCATCATGACTGTTTAAGCAATACAATTGTTCAAAAATAAGTGTTCTGGTATTCATTATTTGCACTTTAAATATTTAACTTGAAGACTGTTTAGTCTTACCTATTGTTTTCTTTTTATTTACCGCACTGTCTGCCTTATGCCTTTTCTGCAAGGAAACAAAAACATTTCATTACACCTCATTACAGATTGCAAAACCATTAGAGCTAGAAACATGACAAACAGCAAGATGACAAAAACGGGTCATTTTTGCCTTTATGTTTGGTTTTGTGGTTTTTGGTTGTTTTGGTTTGGTTTGTGTTGGTTGGGATTTTTTTTTTTTTTAAAGCCACACAAGTCATTTAAATCAAAGTAGTTTGTAAAAACTTAATATAACTTTAAAGTTAGAGTCCCCATGTTGGACATCAGGCTCAAACCTGGATCAGCAGCAAAAAAAGCTAAGCCTCCAAAACTGGTTTTTGGAAGGAAAACAAATGGAACAACAAGAAATGGTATATTTAGATGACAGCTGCACTATACATTCTGTGTGCTGTTAGTTTAGACTGATTTCTAAATTATTTTATTCATCACAACTTTGCAAAGCAGAAAGACCTCTTTATTATAAACAGTATCCAAGCAACTTTGTGCAGATTTTCACCAAAACAGTTTGCTCTATGCTAAAGTTGCTCCCCCCACACATTTTCAAGACCAACTAGAAAGGCCACGCGTGTGTCAGGCCTCTACAGTACCTTTTTCACCAGGCCTTTCTAATAAAAGCCTAAATAAACAAGCTTGAAGAGGTAGAAACAAGTGTCCTGACTTCTACTGTGTCCTTGTTCCCCATCTATAAAGAAAATGCTTAATTTACCTCAGTGTGCTACAGAAATTCTAGTCCAGTTCAGAGCTTTGAAAGTCAAAAGGATATTTTGCTGCTGTTCAGCTGGGACTCAGACTTCAGAGATGCATAGCTTTGTGCCGGTTTGTGGCTTTTTTGAAACGCTATGTTTACTACAGCCTTCCCCATAATCATACTCACATAGTCTTCTATGATTTCTTTGATGCCAGCAACTGTTAAAATAAATAGCAATGGCACCAAGGTGGTATATCTTCCTGTTGGAGAGACATCTGGAATTTGCTGTGAACAGAGGGAGAAGAGATACCCGTTTTATATTTGTATTTAAAATCAGTTTCTAGCAAATTTAGAACTCTATACAAAGCTCTCGGACAGGAGAACGCTAAGCTGTATGATTTGTGCCTGACTGACATCCAATTTCAGTAGGTAAACTAATCTAAGCTCTCAGTAGGTCTGAAGAAACTACTATCATAAAGTGAGAAGATAAAATTGTTGTACATGCCTTTTACTCTATTTCTCTTCTCCACAAGCAAAGCATTAAAATAATGTAATTCACCTGGAATTGTGATAACCTGAACTAAGCAGTCAGCATTTTCACAAGAATGCACACATGCTTTTTCCAGTATGGTCAATAGCTCCATGTTTTACAATACTACCTCTTGTTTTTACTTAAGAATAAAAGCAGCTGTATTTTACAAATTACACTGAAAAAAGTCTAAGTTGCCTTCTAATTTAAATTATTAAGTACATACCTCACTAATATTATTATTAAAATGTCTAAGAACCTCTTTGCAGTTAAGCATAACAACTGAAATAACTTCTCTACATTCCAATTTCATTTTATAATCAAGGCAAACCAATAAAACAATACCTGCAGTAAGGCAATGAAGAGGAAGAATGCATTTGCAGCTTTTCTTATCTGCTCATACAGGAATCGAGGTAGAAATGTCACCACACTGTACTTGGCCGTGCTGCAGATTAGAAGATTTTTATTTTAGCGCTTCATTGGAAGATCATATAGGGATTGTGACCAAAGAGTTTCATGAAGGCCTCTAAAAGCCACTGTTAGAAAGTGGTTCAAAGATCACACAGTAAAGACATATAGTATATGGAGGAAGTAAATTGCCTGTGTTATGAGTAAGAGCTGTACTGAACAAAAGAGATATCACACAGTCCCACTTAATCACTGGTACTTTTATTATTGGATTGACTGTCAGATAATTTACTACCTATCTAAACTTCAGCACCATGAACAGGCAATCTTCCACCTCAGTTCCAAGCACTTGATCAAGTGCTTACCCCCACATCAAAACATGGAATTTAAGCATTGGGCAAAAAAGAGTTGAATATGGGAGAAGTTAGAAATTCTGCATTGCCATTTTTGAAATGCCTCATTTCCCAGTTCCAGAACCATTCTACACTCAGTTATGAAGCATATTCCAAAACGATACATACTTTTTCAGATTAATCTTTCCTGGGTATTTTTCTTGAGTAATTATACTACTATTTCTACCTTAAACCCAAAGCACACTCCACTAGTCTCAATAATCTATGTATTTCTTGTCTTCCTCACATCAAACACATGATAGGCACGAATACAACTTCAGGAAAAAAGTGTCCAAGACAACAAGATGCTTTAACCATTCCATTTTTTTTAATAAGTACAGTAAGCCACCTCCAAAGGTGGTAACTGTCAAGTTACCAAAAACAACCAAAGAGACATTAAGACCCTTGATCTTGCAAAGTCCTTGCTTTCTGAACACATTAGTTACAAGCCAGTCATCTACATGCCTTCTTGAGACAGTACGAGGAAACTCATCATACTGCAGAACTTGTCTGAGCTGTATGAGTGACTGAGTCCATCTAGTAGCATGTGGTGTTCCATTATATGAAGAAAAAAATATTCCTAGAGCAGAAAGAGCAACTCTGCCTCACTTTCCCCCACTGCATTAGCACAGCACCTTCCCCCACTGTTAACTACTGGGCATCATCCCATCAGTTGGAGTTGGAAGAACTTAGTGCTTGCAGCTGTAGTTCAGGTGTCTTCCCCCAGACACTGAGCTTAAGCTCTGCAAGAGCCAGACAACCTGTGACAGGAGTTCTGTTTGGTTTGGGTCATGATTTTGGTTGCCTGGGTTTTGGGGTGGGGGGGAATTCATTTGCTTGTTGTCTGTTTGGGGTTTTTGGTTTTTTCCAAGTTCCATATTTCCAAGGAACTGAGAACCACAAGATACTCCTTTCAAGAAAGAATAAAAATTGTTTCCTGAAGCATTAACTCCACCAACACAGGCAGATGCTGTTTTACTGAAGTTTCCTAGAAGTGTCAAGAGCACCCTTCCGTTAAGCCTGGTCCTCTATTCGAAATGCTTTTCTAGCTTTCTCCCACCAATAAGCCTTCCAGATCAACTGAAATCCATGGCATTACTATTCACAAATCACGAACGACTAGCATGATCAACTCCTTTATCTACATGATCTGCCTTTCACAGTTCACTGCTATGCATAAAACTCTTACTACAACCGTGATCCACAAGCAGTTAAGTTCAGTGCAGTTCTCTTATCTTCTTATGTTCAAGGTTAGAGACCTGCATCCTCCAAGACCACTTACTTGCTTTAACCATTTTCATCTCCCTCTCACCTTCCCCATCCCCAAGTCCAAGCCATCTAATGAGACGCTGCTGCATCTTCCAGAATCAAACAGTAACAAGCTACGACTTGGCATACTTTGTTACATGAAGTTCTATTTTGGACACCAGAGCAGAATCAGTGGGGCAAGTTAAACAAAAAACAATTAAAAACCAATTAAGATCCCATCTTATCACCTAGTTCCCTCCTCAAGTAGCTACAAACCCCTACTACATTTGATGCAGATCAGTAATTACTTTAACTGGATCTCTAAAAAGGCAACATGACATTTCTAGTACTATAACCTATAGACCTCCTATTGCTCCTACTGCTCAGCAAAATCATGTATTCAAATACTCAATGTGATACTTCACAGAAAACTCAGGTGGCAGATCATACCAACTAAGTGAACTGAATTAAAATACACATCCAGTTCTAAAAGCATGTAACATACTACATCGATTGTATAAATGAAGTTACTTCCTTGAAATGCTATTAATTTCTTCCAACTAAGTATTTTTCTTTTTTAAGCCATATTCTCTCAGTCTCATGTGTAACAACCTCCCTTTAACACAGAACAAAATTAAACACACACGCCTCAGAAGTACCATGTGACTTAAAAGATATGTGTTAATCAAGTTAACAGTTTAGACCTACAAGCAATACTAATTAGGAATCAAGCACTGGCAGATTTTTGTATCAAAGCAGTATTATCCAGAATCCTACATTGCTATGATTATATTAATGCAAGAATTTGATTGCAACCAAGCTGAAACATTTATCAACAACATTCTACCATTTACTAACTTTATAGCTAACTGGTCCAAACAATATTCTTACACTAATGACCATGTTAATGCCAACACAATAAGGCTCTTTTGAATGAGCTTTATACATACTTAGTCACTCCATGTATTTTGTTGCTTAACTAACATGACAGATGTCTACAGAAAACAGCTACAGTTCTAATTAGAGGGGCACATTCAGCTGTTACCCTGCAGACCAGGAACAGTAATCATGTGTATGCATAAAAAGCAGGTGCACATTATTATTCAACAAGAAAGCTTCTTATGAAAAGCTAACTAATACTCTAAGCTGGGCAAGAGTACTTGATTAATTTGGCTCTGAAAAAACAGCTCTCTAAAGGACAAATACAACACTTACAAATAAAAAAAAAGCTTTGTGCTCTCTCCAGATGCACTTAAATGACTCCAGGATAATCAAAGCTCAGAAAGAAGTTAAAACCTACAGGTGAACAGGTACAAAATTCAGGCAGCTCACTCACAGCACCATTTTGGACACTAAAATATCTGCAAAAGTTAGCCCTCTGACCAGCCCCAGAGACATCTTATCTTCAAAGAAGTGCTTGTTACCCAACTCCAACACCACCAAGTCTTCAGCTCACAGAACACACTGTGGCAGGGGGAGAAGAGGACTACATGCAACAGCTTTTAACTATGCAAACCTTGCTTAACTACACAAGTTTGATGTTTAAACAGGTACTCAAACATTAGAAGAGATGTCTCCTTTGTATTCACAACTTAATTCATGTAAGCCATGTTTCAAGTCACACCACGGTGCAAGTCCGGAGGAATACTATCAAACCCTGTAAATAAACGAGTTCGGATACGTATCAGTACAGTCAAGAGTCTGGCCCCACTGTTCCCAGGGCAGCACAGAGATTTCCCCGCCCCCTAAAGCAATCACTGTATAATTTGAAAAGAGTTATAGACTCACAGACTGTTAGGGTTGGAAGGGACCTCGAAAGATCATCTAGTCCAATCCCCCTGCCAGAGCAGGACCACCTAGAGTAGGTCACACAGGAACACATCCAGGCAGGTTCTGAAAGGCCCCAGAGAAGGAGACTCCACAACCTCTCTGGGCAGCCTGTTCCAGTGCTTTGTCACCCTCACAATGAAAAAGTTCTTCCTTATGTTAATGTGGAACATCCTGTGCTCCAGCTCGCATCCATTGCCCCTTGTCCTGTCACTGGTCATCGCCGAGTAGAGCCCAGCTCCATCCTCCTGACACTCACCCTTTCCATGTTTACAAACATGATGAGGTCTCCCCTCAGTCTCCTCTTCCCCAAGCTAAAGAGACCCAGCTCCCTCAGCCTTTCATCATAAGGGAGATGTTTCACCCCTTAACCATCTTCGTGGCTCTGCGCTGGACTCTTTCACGCAGTTCCCTGTCCTTTTTGTTAGTGTCATTCACCTACCTTAACTCACTATCATGCTACTGAAGTACCAAGGATTAGTTATTTCGATAACACTCAAATAAGAAGTGGCAAATAGTATACTGAGAAACTCAGCAGTAGCTTTCCAGTATAGTTCCTCCATTTATTAACATGGAATTTTCGCATGACATCTCCCATAATTGCCATTTTCCCCATTTCACCAAAACTTTTCATAAAGTCAAGTTTTATTCTATTGAATCATCCTCGAGGAGGCAAAAGCTGCCAATAATAGGGGCAGAGAGGTTACTTCCCTGAGAAGTGTAGGTGTGCTGGCAGTGTGCACCTGAAAACAGCTCTACACTTTCCCAGGCAGCCACCTAAACCACTTCCACCCCTTCCTCAAGAATTTAGATTTACATCTCTGAGATGAATTTCACCTTCAGGATAACCATGATAAAGAAAACAGGACCTCCTTGAGACACATGTGGTCTCATTTCCAGGGGTGATAATTACAACAAACTGTTCCTTCCCAGGCAGCATTCATACACAGCTATACATTCCACCATTCATGTACTTCAAATACTCTCAAATCAGAGAGCTGAAGAATGAGTATTGCTTGATATTAGTGCTTTTAACACACATCAATTCTCAGGAGCAATTACTAAGAAAGCCAGGCATTAAAGTGAATGTTAAGGACTTGAACTCTTCTCTCAAACAGGTTTTGTTTCTGTTAACACATACAAAAGATCAAATGCTCTTTAACAGAGAAGGGAGAAAGAAATAATAAAAAGCCAAGATCATATGCTTGAAGGGCTTAAATACTGTCTTCAGCGGAAAAGTGTGCGCATGCTAAGGTACTGCAAGCACGTGACACTGGCAAGACTGATATCAGCTTCAGAGGTGCTGCTGTAGCTCTCCAGTACAGAACCAGTACGAATACAAGCTACCTCCAGACAGTCACCATTGCTGCAGGAGGCACAGCAGCACGCTTTACATGTTTCAAGTGATATTGAACTACATTGACAAAAAAGCAACAGGTAACTACGCTGGGTACAGAGAAAGCTCATTCGTAATAACATCTCGCCAACAAACAGCACTGCCATGGACAATACTGGCTAGGTTGTTACCAATCACCTTGTCATGAACAAGGTTTTTAGCAGTTGCATGCAT